ATGGAAGAATATGGTAATTAGATTATACAAGCAAGGTCAGGCTTGGAACCTGAATATACTTCAGAGCAAATGCTCAGAGGAAAAAAAAATAATATATAAACTATTTGGTAACAAAAGCGTACTATATGTTGTGATACAAAAGGCATGGTGAAAATGTACCTTTTCTACTAAAGCGTTCCTTGGTCCATAAAAACCATGTTATGTCCATGTTTTCTAGTTCAATTTGAATCCCAGCCACTTTTGTTTAACTGTAGTTACATGTCCATATTTTAAAGAGACAACTAAAAATAGATTTTCAATAAAGGGGTGCTGGCCCCCAACGCATTCGTTTTTTTATTGTGGTTCTAATGAGATCAGCACTTGTAGGTGATAAAAGTTCAAAGGGCGGCAAAGAGGGTTTTTTCTTCCCTCCCACGAAACCACAAAAGTTGTTCAGTTTTGTCGTTTGAAGCACTTGAAAGTTTTTAAGAAGTTCCATACAAAGAGCAGTGGTTAGGAAACTACTGTGGCTGTTGATGACGTGACGCTGGTGGGGTTTGTGCTGACATTTGTGTAACTTCCCTCATTGTTTGTATTTGATTCGCTGGATGCCAGGAGACTTGAATTGGCTCGGAGGATGGCTCCTGCTGCGCTGCAATGCGGCCGGGGGCCTGGCTCTGGGGTGTATGTAAAGGTAAGGCTGGTGGAGTAAATTATGCCATCGTTGCGGACTAACGTGACCGGAACCTGGACGGGCTGGCGGACCCACCGCCACCCTTCCCGGAATGCAGAAATATCGGGGACGACACACAGCATGCTCTCGGCACACCTGGGAAGAAGCAGAGGAAAACATTAACTTCCCCCAGGAAAAACCATCTTGCAAAGCTGCCACAGCATTTCAAATTCGGCAGCAAGAAAATAGAATTGTTCCAATCGACATTGTTTTATTTATGATCTCTAGCTAAGCAGAAACTGAAGAATTATTTTGCGCTATTTCCCTGAGTTTTGCTGGGGGAAGATGCAATGAGTTATGCAGGCATTAAAGCCTCACCTCCACCGACTTACGGCGTCAAGAGTCTCCATCTGAACTTTCTGCAAGGTATGGACTGGCAATCTTTGCAGCCGCAGGCACGCAAAGTGGCATTCGAAATAACAAAGAAAGTGGAGAAAGCTGGGAAGCTGAGTGCTACGTCCAACACACCTTCTGCTCCTTTCTCGCAGCCCCACAAAACTCTTAATAAAAACTGTAGGGAAGCTCATTCAGATGATTACACTCTAGTTAGGTTCTTGCTAAGGCTGCTAGATTTACACTCTGCAGCGCTGGTGTCCAAAGAAACCGAATCCACGACAGCAGCCCTAATCATCTCAAGTGAAGGGGAAAATGCTAATTGAGAGGATGAAGGTAAAGGGCATACCTGTTTATTTTTTGGAGCTATTTAGGCTCTGCTTTTTACTTTAAAAGAAGGTGAGAAGAAAAATGTAAAAATGGCTTCCCAAGCTGGAATTTATCTCAAAAAGACCTTTTTTGCAAACATGCAAACTCAGAAAATTTGTTATTTCAGTTAGGTGAATGAAGGATTGATACATCTTGCCTTTACTGAGTCCAAAACCCACATCAAACAGTTACATTAACATGGCTAAGACTGTATCACACCTGTACATCGTTTCAGCTTCCACATCCCCAAACCAGACACGCAAATTTGGAGTGAAGTTCTGCCCAGTTAGTTCCAGCATCGCTACATCTCCACCACCATTCAGCTGGTGAAAATAAAAGGAAAAATAACACACTATGTTTATCATGTGAAACACCCACAAAAATGCACTGATTCAGGGAACCCTCTTTGAATTAATTGAGCTCTTGGGAGAAAAACAGCTGAATCTTCAGAGGGGAAATCTTCATCCTTACCAGATGTATATATGAATATATGAAAAAAATGTTTTTTAATTTGAACCATCCAAGATCCTACCTATCATATGGGAAATACACAAAGGAGTAAAAAGGAATCTGTCACTGAATCACGTTTTAAACTATTTTCCAAACTAAGTTCCTATACAATTCTGCCGCTTGCCAGAAGAATGTAAAGCAGCCCATTCAGAGAGTCGTAGCAAGTAGATCTCTCTACTGACTGATATCCTGCTGCAATCTAATTAAGGGCTTTCAGCGGTTCACAAATAGAAATGTATTCAATTAAAGGATTTAATATACAACTAATTCTATTAATGTAATGACATTACAGTTCAGTCCAGAAATAAATGGCTTGTTCTCTTTCATCTATACTATATGCTATGTCCAAGCAGCAATATTTAGAAAGGAAAAAGAAAAGGTTGCTTACCTGAAGACTTTCTACAACAGGCACAGGTGTTACAGGAGCATGGACCGGTCCCATCCCCTCATAAAATGTGTATTCTGCTTTATCTGTGCTAATGATTGTCCATGAAGCTCCATCATTAATCATCTCTTTATTTGGTTCTTTGGGGCATGGAGTGGCCTGTAAAAAAATAATTACCAGACACATGATAGAACGTAAATAATGTCTTGTGCAAAAACAAAGACCTTTTAATATGAAGACTAGAGAGTCTTTTGGAAATGTAACGCAGGTAGTCCTCGGGTTACGACAGCCGTTGGGACCGGGATTGCCATTGCTAAGTGATGCAGTCATAAGGTGCGATGTCACATGACCGCATTTGTTAACGATCCCAAGATGTGGGGGTTGTTATCCGGGAAGAAGCAGGAGTCCTAGTAAGGAGTGCGGGGGAGGATGCTGCAGGCAGGCTGGTGGAGGCTGTGAGAAGGCAGCGAGTGCTGTGGAATATGAAATCCCTCGTACTCCATGGCGGGCTCCTCGGAAGAAAAAGTGGCAGGAGCAACTTACTGGGGCAACTTGCAACCTCTCTGACGGCTTCCCCATTGACTTTGCTTGTGGGAAGCCAGCAGGGAAGGCTGCAAATGGTGATCATGTAACACAGCTCACTGCAATGTTGTAATCACGAACCGGGCCCCCAGCACCTGGATTGTGATCACGTGACACTGCAACAGCCAGAACTTGAGGACCGGTTGTAGGCCCATTTTTTCAGCACTGCTGTAACTTTGGTCGCTGAACAAATAGACGTAAGTCAATGACTACCTGTATTAAGAGTTAAAAAACAGAACACTAAGGGGCTCTTCCCTCTTTGCCTCTGCACTGACAACTTTTTTAGATACGGACGGAGTCTGCTTTGACTAGGGCCTTCAGTAGAACATAGGGGGCTACTCTTCCCTCTGTTTTTTCTAAAAGTTGCAACACCTACTACTTATTGATTGATTGATGCAATTTTTATAGCCTTCCATCTCAATCCAAGTGACTAAAGCAGAAAGTAATAGGAAAAGCTTCTGAAGGCAAATTGGTGCTTTCCAGAGTGACTAGGCAAACAGCTAGCTCTTGCCTGCAACTTCTTAAACCAAGAGGACTTTTCCCGGGATGGCAGTGGAACTATGGCAAACAGCTACACAATACCGGGAAAAGATACAGCTGCTTTAAGAAGTTGGCAATCAGAAGCACCTTTTTGCCTGCAAACTTGCAGCACTGCCCAACCCTGAGAAGTAATATCAGGCCCAAAATGCAGACCATAGCTCTACGTATTCCCTTCAGACATGCCTTTTTCTGAACAGCTTCCCTCGGTCATGTTCTCTCTTCCTGTCAAATCCCCTACAGCTTCCTTTCCAAGCCAAGCCTCTATCCAACTTGCAGCTCCACCAATTTCAATGCTGAAATATGTGGCAGGAAACCAATAGGAGTGACCCTTTCTCACATTAAGGGTGCCATCTGCAAGTAAAGTGTGCAATGTTACACAGTGTTGCAAATATAAACCCTGCTGCCATGCCATTTTAAGAGTCATCATCATCAAAAGGCTGCGGTAGGTGCTACAGCCCCCATGGTGCTAGTCTTTGGATAGGCGCACTGTCAAGAAATCAGTAATAATACATGCTACGCTAGTATGTCAAACAACTTACTTGAAATTGGATAATTCGCTCTTGGGAAAGGCACAAGTACATTCGTTCAGTATCTTTAAGGTAGAACGCACACTTATGGAGCTGGGATACTGGATCATCTGCATCTAGCAAAGCGGTTTGTTTGTCCACTTTCCGTATTATCTGTCAATAGATAGTTAATTATTCAGAAAGGTTTTTTAACCACCAATATCACAAATCTATCACTTCTAATGTGTATCTCCACACGCATTATCAGTTGGTAATGGATATCAATATCGCTGCTGAGGAACTGTGGTTGTTGCAGCTTCTAACAGATACACTCAGAGTACGTTAACAGAGCACTGGCTTTCCTCACTTCATCAAAATTAGCATGTGAAGCCTTTTCAAGGGTGATACTTGCAACCTTGAAAAGAAGACCTATCTTATTATGCCCACTGCAAGAGGATCAGATGCTGACAGAACGGTCAGGAAGTAGGATCAAGGGAGAAGTAAAATCTACAACATCCAGTACTCCTTAATTCATGGAGGATGAGTTGAAGTGTCTAAGGAGATGCCTGAAGCGATACTGGCAAAAGAGGAGGCACCAAGATGCCAATTACAACTTTTAAACTGAAACGTTCCAATATGTAGATTTATACCAATGTAATTTTGTTTTTGTTTTTTGGGTGTGTGTTTTTTCAGTGCTCAGAAGCCTCTTTGTTTAGAACTTGCTTCTTCTATTTTTTTTAGTTCATTCTCTGACTATATTTGCAAATTTAAGAAATAATAATTAAAAAGAAAAAAAGACACTTATGAGCTGGATGCCAAATATTTAGGCAGAACTGGTGCTTAAGACAGTGACACGACTTTAAGAGTTTAAATGCGATACTGATTTTATGGATTTTTAAATTTGGCACACTGTACTGCAAGGTGCACAGAGTTGTTCAAGTAGGTGCATATGTAGAAAGGTAAATCAATCAAGCAAACAAACTTACATATATGAATTTGGACTTCTTAATACTTCACTACTATATACATTCTGCACAACTAGTTATAGATAAAAATATGGAGTAAAGGTCTATTATTTAATAGCAGAAATATGAATAACCTGCCTAGCAATTTTAGAAAATGAATGTATTTATTTAGATGTATATGGCCGCACATCTCAAGTACATGACTCTAGGCGGCTCACAACAATAAAAATAAATAAAGATGTATACAATACAAAAGATAAAACAAGAAATAAAATACACAGCTGCTGGAGAAACATAAAAACAACATAGCCAAGGAACGGGTTCTGTCCCACAGTCGGGGCCCCAGATACACTGAAAATGTAAAATGTACCAATCTTGGGAGTGCCATGCCAGTAACCGAACAAACAAGTTTGACAGTCTGGCCATAATGGATATAGCCATCTCGAACGGTGAATTCCTCTCCTTCCGATTCATCATCGTCCACTGCGCAGAAAAGAAAGGTATAAGCAGGCCAGGGAAAATTGAATCAGTTCCAAAAGAAAGCATAATGCTACTATTCTTATGAACGCAGGAAAGATTTAAAAAAAAAAAAAAAACGACCAGTGGTTTCAGCTTTACTCACAGAGATGAATGTAAAATGCTCCCCATTGTTGTGAGCTGGCGTGAAAGTTCCCTCCTTCTACGTGCAAATACCTGGTGCTAACTGTTTGGGACCGAAGTCTATTAAACAGCGCCACTTTTGTCCCTGATGCGATACATACTGCGGAAGCAAAAACAAAAGCAGAGCCTTTAACGTATCAGACAGGAAAAATGTGCCAGCAAAGAAGTTGCGGCAGTGCTTCTACCAATCTGAAAGTGCGAGTTTCTTCCAGCTATTTTAAACCCTTCAGAGAATGGGCATCTTTTGCTCTTTTTTTTTTTTTTTAAAGGCATTCCCTTTTTCTAGTCACAAACTGTCTTTAAATAAATAAAAATAAAATAAACTAGTCTAGAATATTATCCTTTTTAATTGTCTGCCTTTAGAGACTGTTTTACAAGTGGGATGGCCCTTGAAGCATGCTTTGAAATACTGTTACCTCTTTAATCAGATAATGTCAAAAATACAAGACAGACCATTGTGCATCTCTCTCACTCCTGGGCTTGCTAGAAGCTGGAGTCAAATACCTTCTCTCTTTGTTTTAATGGTTCAAGTTATTTTCTGATAGGGCTGCTCTACCAACACCAACATTCATAAGCCCTATGAGCATTTTGCTTGCTAGAATCACAGCACGTATATGAAACACAGACGACAGTCAACGAAGCTCGTTTGCCCAATACTTACGGTCTGCATTTTTGAGCGACTGTTTCTTTTTAGAAGGCTTAGAGATTACTTTGATCCGTTTACTAAGGAAC